ACCTCTTCTCCTATGGTCCCTCAAGCTCCATCTAATATTGTGGATCCACCTCTACATCAATCTATACGCATTCATAAGTCCACAAAGTTACCAGATTTTGCTTATTCTTGTTATTCTTCATCTTTTACTTCATTTTTAGCTTCTATTCATTGTCTCTCTGAGCCCTCTTCCTATAAAGAGGCAATTCTTGATCCTCTTTGGCAGCAAGCTATGGATGAGGAACTTTCTGTTTTGCATAAGATAGGTACTTGGGATTTGGTTCCTCTACCTCCTGGTAAGAGTGTTGTTAGTTGTCGTTGGGTGTATAAGATCAATACTAACTCTGATGGATCTGTTGAGCAATACAAAGCCAGGTTGGTTACAAAAGGGTACTCTCAACAGTATGGTATGGATTATAAGAAAACATTTGCTCCTGTTGCAAAAATGACTACTATACGTACTCTTATTGCAGTTGTTTTGATTTGTCAGTGGCATATCTCTCAACTTGATGTTAAAAATGTCTTATTGAATGGAGATCTTCAAGAAGAAGTTTATATGGCGCCCCCTCCTGGTATTTCACATGATTCTGGGTATGTTTGCAAGCTCAAGAAAGCGTTATATGGTCTTAAACAAGCACCTCATGCTTGGTTTGAGAAATTTTCTGTTGTGATCTCTTCCCTTGGATTTAATTCTAGTAGTCATGATTCTGCTCTTTTTGTTAAATGCACTGATGCAGGTTGTATCATTCTGTCTTTATATGTTGATGACATGATTATTACTGGTGATGATATTAATGGTATTTCAGTTTTGAAGACAGAGTTAACTAAACAGTTTGAAATGAAGGATTTTGGTTCTCTACGATATTTCTTCGGTATTGAGGTAGCCTGTTCACCTAGAGGTTATCTTCTTTCTCAGTCGAAATAGGTTACAGATATTCTTGAGCGAGCTAGACTTATTGATAATAAGACTGTAGATACTCCCATTGAGGTTAACGCAAAATATTCTTCTTCTGATGGTCTACCTTTGTCAGATCCTACTTTATACCGTACTATTGTTGGGAGCTTGGTATATTTCACTATTACTCGTCCATATATTGCATATGTTGTTCATGTTGTTAGTCAGTTTGTTGCTCCTCCTACTACAATTTATTGAGCAGCTGTTCTTCGTATTTTGCGGTATCTTCGGGGTATAGTCTTTCAGAGTCTTTTACTTCCATCCACCTCTTCCTTGGATCTGTGTGCATACTCTGATGCTGGTCATGGTAGTGATCCCACAGATCACAAGTCTGTTACTGGTTTCTTTATCTTTTTGGGTGATTTTCTTATTTCTTGGAAGAGCAAGAAACAATTTATTGATTCTCAATCTTCAACCAAAGCAGAATATTGTGCTATGACATCTACTATCAAAGAGATTGTTTGGTTACGTTGGTTACTTGCAGATATGAGAGTTTCTCTTTCTCATCCTACTCCTATGTATTGTGACAACCAAAGTTCTATTCAGATTGCTCACAACTCAATTTTTCGTGAACGAACTAAGCACATTGAGATCGATTGTCACCATAGTCGTCATCATCTCAAGCATGGCACCATTACTTTTCCCTTTGTTTCTTATTTTTTGCAGATTGCAAATTTCTTTACCAAGTCGCATTCTATTTCCCGTTTTCGTTTTCTAGTTGGCAAACTCTCGATGCTTGTAACTGCCGCATCGTGAGTTTGAGGGGAGATGTTAAGAAATATAGGGTTATTTTATTTATTAAGGGTAGAATAGTCTTTTATTTTCCCTTTGTTTAGCCTATATATAGTCTCTTTGTATTTAGGTTAAATTACTTCTTCGTATTCAATTGAATTACGCAGTATCAATAAAACCTTAACCTCCTCTTTTCTTATCTCTTGTATTTTTCTTTTATTAGATTGTTTAACAGACTGGTGTGTTCAATAGTTAGACTGGATACTTGACCAAAGAAGTGTATATGGAGCAACCCAAGGGCTTTATTGATTTCCAATATCCTGATCATGTTTGTCGCTTGCACAAAGCACTTTATGGCCTTAAACAGGCTCCTCGTGCTTGGTTCACAAGACTCCAAGATTCATTATTGTAATTAGTCTTCATCTCTTCTTTTGTTGATTCCTCGCTATTTATTCTTCACCAAAATGATGTTCATATTTTTATTTTGGTTTATGTTGATGATATTTTAGTCACAGGCACTCATTCTACTATGATTTCCTCTGTCATCACCACTCTTCAACAAGAATTTCATCTCAAGGATCTTGGTCCCTGACATTTTTTTCTCGGTGATGTCTTACATCATGCCCGTATGATTGGTGCTAAGCCGATTGCTTCACCATGTCTTCTCGGCTCTAAGTTGTCTACTTTTGATGGAGATCCTCTATCTGATGATGATGCTAAGGGATGTCGTCAAATTGTTGGTTCTTTGCAATATTGTACTCTCACTAGGCCAGGCATCTCCTATTCCGTGAATCAACTTTGTCAACATATGCATCATCCAACTACTGCTCATTGGACAACAGCAAAACGGGTCTTGCACTATCTTAAGGGTACAATTAATCATGGTCTTTGGTTTACAAAAGGAGATTTTAATATTCAAGCCTACTGTGACTCTGATTGGGCTGGAAACCCCAATGATCGTCGCTCCACCTCTGGCTATGGTGTATTTTTTGGCTCTTGCTTGGTTTCATGGTTTGGTAAGAAACAAAGTGTTGTCTTCTGTAAAGTACCGAAGTTGAGTATCGCTCTTTGTCTCTCACCACAACAGAACTTTTCTGGTTGCGTATGCTATTTCAAGAACTTTGGATTCCTCTTTCCTCTCCACCTATCTTATGGTGTGACAATGTCAGTGCTATTTCTTTAGCCTCTAATCCTGTCTTTCATGCTTGAACTAAGCATGTTGAAGTTGATTTTCACTTCATTAGAGAAAAAGTTGTCAATGGTGATATTGTTGTCAAATATTTACGTACCCATGATCAATTGGCCGATTTTGCTCACTAAGGGACTCACATATGTTCGTTTTTCCTTATTTCGTGACAAGCTGATGGTTCTACCTCTCCCCATTAGCTTGGGGGGGGGGGGATGTTAATGAAGCCACAAAGATACACTCCAAATCCAACTCCAACTCTTTTCTACCTGATAAGCATGAAGACAAGCATTGCAACTTCCTGATAAGATCTATTTGTTTTATTTGTAATCTAGTTATCTTAAACTTCATGATAAGGTCATTTGTAAACTAATCTTCTTATCTTGTATCAGCATATATACTGCAGAGATGTAACGTTTTGATTATAAAAAATACATAAAAAGCTTTCTTATATTCTTTCAATGAAGTCAATAGGATTGACACATTGGTGTAGTGTTAGATAGGGTATTACTTTGAAAAATAATGTTAGTTTGGGAAAAAACTCAACGAAATGAGCCCAAATCTTACCTAATGGAAGTGTTTTGTTTTGTTTTGGTGCGAGAGTAACTATATTCAATACTATATACTCACATGACACTGATTTTGAAATGAGATTGGTGGTATAGAATTAACTTGTTCTTGACACAAATTTTTAAATGACAAAACTTACTAAACCAATATAATACACTAATAAGATTAATATTAAATACGAATAATTTTTTGTCATGATAAACCTATAGAAATGGTAATCTATGTGATAAATGTTTGTTTTTTATGTCTTTTTTTTTGTTTCCTGCTCATGTATTTTATAGTTTTTTTGAAAAATTAGAAGATTTATTATTGGTTTTGCTGGTGCGTGATGCAAGGGAGTGGGTAAAAACAATGATATAATGAACGAAAGGAATAATGAAACGCACAAATACCAGTTTAGAATTTTACTCTAAAGCTATGAATTTATAAGAAAATACCAGTTCTAAAGACTTTAATCAATGTGTTGATTTCTAAAAATATCAAAATAATTGGGAAAAAGAAGAGAAATCTCTCTCAGTATTATTAATTCACCAAGACTATTTTGCCCTAAGGCTTACAAGACTTAAAATAGTAATAGAAACCCTAAAGTAATTAGGAAACTAGAATCCAAAATAAATTGAAAAACTAAATAAAATAAAATCATAATTAAATCAAAAAATAAAAATAAAATAATATTCTAATTAAATTAGGAATAAAATAAAATCTTATAGAACTGAACAAGATTGACGACGTTTAAATAAATTACTAAAATTTTTACCACTCGTTTTGTATTATTCTCCCGTAATTGAAAAGAATTTGCCCTCGAATTCATGTTCAATATTAAATTCTTTGCATAAATTGACGCTTTCAACCGATCCATTGCATTTGGTCATAGTAATAAGATATTGTATTGAAAATTGTGATGACACCAGTCAAATTTGCATTTTGAAGTCATTCAAGGTCACAGGTTAATGCATTATTTTTGAGTGATGGTGATCTTTCCAGATTGAAACTTTTCCATATCAAAGATTTTGTACCCATCAAAAGAAATTGCAATATCAGATATCTCACATCTCTCCAAAGCACCAGTAATAACAACTTCCCCAAACCAATGTAGAACAAAATACTTTTGCTTACCCCAAAGGAAGTGCAATATCAGATATCTCACCACTCTGAAGCACCAGTAGTAGCAACTTCCCCAAACTAATGTTGAACAAAATACTTTTGCTTATCAAGACACCCGATCTGAGATTTTGTACCCACCAAAAAGAATTGCAATGTCATGTCTTACCTCTCTCTGAAGCACTAGTAATAACAACTTCCCAAACCAATGTAAAACAAAATACTTTTTCTTATCAAGACATCCAATCTGAGATTTTGTACCCACCAACAGAAATTATACTATCAGAGATCTGACCTCTCTAATGCACAAATAGTAACAACTTTCCCATACCAATGCAGAACAAAATACTTTTGCTTATCAAGACACCCAATCTGAGATTTTGTACCAACCAAAAGAAATTGCCATATCAGATATCTCACCTCTCTCTAAGGCACCAGTAGTAAAAACTTCCTCAAACCAATGTAGAACAAAATACTTTTACTTATCAAGACACCCAATTTTGTAGGAGTAAACAAAATCTTCATCCTCAGATGACCCCATTGACTCTTTGTAGGCTATGAAGTCAAAGGCTGGCATTGAAAAGAAATTTTCTCCACAACACAAAGGAAACATTGCCTTCACAGCAGATTCAGTCACTTACAATTCGTATTCTACCATTTCAGTAAACCAAAACCCCGCATCCGATGGAAAGTCATATACCTTCGTAGAGGTTTTCCTTGTGAAAGTATTCCTATAAGGAAGCTGGCACAAGGTGTCTTGTGCACATTCTTTTGTGGACACAAGTATTGGATTGTTATCACCAGCAACAACATCATCTCCATGGATCTTAATTATGTCATTCTTTACATTATCAACAACAACAGCAATATCCTTAACATACGCCTTGATATTACCAGCATCTTTGTTAGTGAAGAGGTAATCACTATTCAGATATTCGTCACATATCAAGACATAATCATCATCTTGTATAGTGATTAGAGAATTATCATCATCCAAATATTAATTGAATATCGGGGTGAATTCCAATCAATTTGTGGTCGCACATAAGATGATTTACTATAAAAAAAATACCTCTTTTGAGTTCGCATCAAAATCTCGAACCTCCTATAGGATCTCATCCATGTTCACCAGACTCTTTTCCTCCATCGTTTCGTGAATTTTTGGGTCGTCATTGTGGCTTCTACTGTTGTACTTGTTGAACAATGACACTTAAGGTCGCTATTTGTTGGATTAACGCCTCGAATTGATATTGTATCCCTCGTGCTGTCCGCATCTTCAAAGATTTCGTCCACAGGTTTTCATTTGAGTGGCATGATAAAAATAATGTAATTGGGCTCTGATACCAACTGATGTAGGGAACCGGATAAAAACAATAATATAATGAACAATAGGGATAATGAAAATAAACTATTGATTTATGCACAAATATTGGTTTAAATTCCTGCTCTAGAGCTGTTGATTCATGAGAATATCAGTTTTAAAGTCTTCAATCGATCTATTGATTCTTAAGGATACTAGAATAATTGGGAAGAATAAGAGAAACCTCTCTCAATATTATTAATTCACTAGTTTTGCCCCAAGGCTTGCAAGAATTTAAATAGTAATAGTAACTAGGAAGCTAAAATCCTAAATAAATTAGAAAATCAATTAAAATAAAATCTTAATTAAATCAAAAAATAAAAATAAAATAATTTTTTAATTAAATTAGGAAATAAAATAAAATCTTATAGAATGAGATGGACCACTTCAAATAAAATACTAAAATTTTCATCATTCCTTCTGCATATCACATGACATTCAAATAAATTAAAGTACTAAAATTTTCATCATTCCTTCTGCATATCACGTGACATTCAAATAAATTCAAGTACTAAAATTTTCATCACTCTTTCCGCATATCACATGAGTTTTAATTATGGGAGATATGAATGGTAAATTTGATTGGGAGACCATAGGATACAAGCTTTTTCTTATGTAGCTGGCTTCTGATGGATGACAATCCAAGTAAGCTTTTTTTTTTTTAACATGGACAAAGGAGCTCAACAAAAGTGACCGGTGGCATCTGTGTTAGGTAGGTCTGGAGATAACTGATTGATTAATCAAATGAGCTCATCTCTCTCGGCTATCATTTGTTGTTCAAGGGTAACCATAGAATTGAGTCTTCCAAATTTGGGTTAGAGCAATTCCAAAGGGAGTTGCTATTTTGGGGTGTTAAATCATCTATTTATAATTTTAAACAGTGTTTTGGTATCCCTGAATTATAAATCTGCTCAAATGACAGATGTCAAAATGAGGTGCAATTTTATTATTTTTTATTAAAAAATATAATTAAATTTAACGGTTATATTTGAACGGGTATAATTTTTATAACGATTGAAATTTAACGGATATATTTTTATAGTAAAATTTTCAAATTTCAAATTTTGTCCGCCGAAATTCAAATTTCAAAATTCAACCGTTGAAATTCAAATTTGAAAATTTAATCGCCAAAATAAAAATTCAAAAAAGTATAATTCATCTATAAATATGATCATTTTCCTCATATTTTCATCCATCTATATTACATTCTCTCTATAAATTCAATATCTACTTTCTCTTTGACTATTTATCCTTTCATATTTTTATTCATCAATCTATATGAATTGTTATTCTAATATTTTAGGAAAGATCTTCAATATTGAAGAAGAAGATAATGATGAATTGGATATGTTGTATGTTGTAACCAGAGGTCAAAAGGGTCTAGTCAGGAACGAATAAGAAGGCATTGTGGTTCCATTCTAGGACACAAAACAATTAATCGTAGTAGAGTTGAAGGCCACGAAAGACTCTACCATGACTATTTTGTTACCCCTTATATATATAAAAGGTTTTTTCTAAAGAAGATTTCGAATGAGTCGTCCTCTCTTTCTTCAAATTGTAAATGAGGTTGAACAATACGATCCATACTACATTCAAACAACAGATGTTGTTGGAGCTCTCGGCTTGTAATCCCTTTAGAAGATAGCAGCTGCTTATAAAATTCTTGCTTATGGAATACCGACAGATTCTGTGGATGAATACATCAAAATTGGAGAAAGCACTGTCATACAGAGTCTGAAAAGGTTTGTGAAAACTGTTATTACAGTTTTTGATGACTATTACTTGAGGTCACCAAACAATAGCGATATTACTCAATTGCTATAGACAAGGGAACAACGTGGCTTTTGCGGCATGTTAGAGAGTATTGATTGCATGCATTGGAAACAGAAAAATTGTTTGACTGCATGGCAAGGTATGTTTACTAGTCATTGTCACGAACCAACAAACATTTTGGAAGCTGTGGCTTCTCAAGATTTTTGGATATGACATGCATTCTTTGGGCTTTCTAGCTTAATGAATGACGTAAATGTTCTAGAAAGGTCCCCTGTTTTTGCATTATTAGCAAATGGTCATGCTCCTCCAATAAACTATACAATTAATAGTCATGAGTATACAATGGGATATTATCTAGCAAATGATATTTATCCAAACTGGTCGACATTTGTAAAAACAATTCTTTGTCCAGAAGGTTTTGAAGATAAAACATTTTGCTAAAGCACAAGAGTCGGCAAGAAAAGATGTAGGGCATTTGGGGTACTTCAAGCCCGTTTTGCAATCGTGCGTGGGCCAGCACGCTTTTGGGATAAAGAAACACTTGTAGATATTATGAAAACGTGCATAATAATGCATAATATGGTCATTGAGGATGAAGGAGATATTAGTAACAATGACTTTGATGAAAGTGATGTAAATCCGCCTATAGAAATGTCGCATGCGTATAAATCAGATTTGGAAGACTTCATGCAAACACTTTGTCAGATCAAAGACAGTGCAACTCATTCTCAACTGCAGTCAAATCTTTTTATCGAGCATTTGTGGGAACGACATGACGAAGAATAAATTTTTTAATTTTGATTTTAAGTTGATTTTCTTAATTTCAATTTTAAGTTGTATTTTCAATTCCAATTTCAATTTCAAGTTATATTTTCAATTTCAATTTCAATTTCAAGTTGTATTTTCAATTTTCACAAGTACTGTCATAGTAATCAAACTTAATATATAGTTTTTCATAAATAATAGCAACATAATAAATAATCACTAAAAATTAAAAAATAATAGTAACACAATAAATAACGACAAAAAATTAAAACTCCACTTTTTCATAATCTCTATCTTCGGATTATTCCAATATGTTGCAGAAATTGGGTCTATCTCAGGAGTGCCAGTAACCATGATTTTCATTTTATTCTGCATTTCATTCTACCTTTCAATTTCTTGCACCTGTCTTTCTTCAATTTCTAACTATTTACGATTTTGCTTCAATGTTATCTCCTGTTGAGCAAAAAATTTGTCGTGCCACTCAATTTTTTGTCGTTCCACTTTCATTCTTTGATTTCAGAGATGATGATCTAGTGATGCTTCAACATTGATTTTCTTCTCTTTGTTTTTAAGTTGTTTCTTTGAAACCTTTCTGCCCAATGGCCTATCGAGGTTGGGAGTGAACAAGGGTTCAGTGTCATTCTCTAAATATATAGTTGAATAACAAGATTCAACATGATTTGATTCAACAGAACCACCAGTTAAATGAGTTTTTACTCTCTTATTGCTGGTGAGATTATCAATCCATTTTCGCTCTATTTTCAATATATTCCAACAATGCTCGTATTGAAATGATCTTAGCAAATATTTCTTTTGCTTCGTCAATCTGAAAAACATATGAAACNTCATCAACTTGAAAAACATATGAAATCATTTAGTCAATAGTTCAAATATCAAATCATAGTAGTGTCTATCTAAAAAAGTTCAATCATTACATTATTTTGCTCGGTGTGTCCAATTTGTCGCAGTCTTTTAATTTGACTATAAAAATCGATAAATTTGTTGTATTTTACATTTATATCAATCCAACAGCTTTTAATAGAAACTTATGAACGATCTTCTTGGTCGCCTCCATGAAGTTCTAGCTATTTTCAATATTCTATGCCAGAAAGTACCATCTTCTTCTTAAAAGAAAATCTTTGTCTTTTGTGATTTTCTCACTTTTTGAGTGGCTTCATTTTTTACTAGCGCCAATACTGTGAGATTGGTCTGCATAGCATCATCATATAAATCGGTAATGTTCATAAGTCAATCAGTGAAATAACTGTCAAATTGCGAATCTATCTACTAAAAACAAAAAAATTATAATCAATTTAAAGAATGAGCATAAAATAATCAATTTAAAAATAAATAAAATCACCCTTAATTAAAACAAATTATAAATTAAAAAATAGCTAAATAAAAAAATTCACCCTAAATTAACAAAAAATAAATAAATTAATTAATTAATTAAAATTAAAAAATTCAATTTAAATTGCAAAATTAATTCAATTATAAAATCGATTTAAATTCTAAATAAAAATTAACTAAAATAGAATTAAATTCTTCAATTATAAAAATTAGCTAAATAAATAAATTGAACCTAAATTAACAAAAATAAATAAATAAACTAAAATTAAAACATTCAATTTAAATTACAAAAATTAATATAATTAAAAAATAAATTTAAATTCTAAATAACAATTAACTAAAATAGAAAAAACTTTTTCAATTATAAAAATTAGCTAAATAAATAAATTCACCCTAAATTAACAAAAATATATAAATAAATAATTAAAATAAAATTAAAACATTCAATTTAAATTACAAAATTTAATTTAATTTAAAAATTCAATTTAAATTCTAACAATGAACTAAAATAAAAACATTTATTTTAAATTAAAATCAATATATATATTTCAATTTAAATTGTCTTGATTTCTTCCCCCCCCCCCCCTTACTCCTGTGGATTTCTTCCCCTTTTCCTCTATGCCTGCGCCTTCTCCTCCTTCCTTTTCTCCTCTATGCCTCCTTCTTCAGATCTACCATCACCAACCACAAGGTTTGAAGAAAAATCAAGAGCAAGGAGCAGAAACTTACAACGATTTTCATGACAAGCTTTTTTAGCCTTTGGTAAGTTTTCTCTTTCAAAATCTTTGTATTTATAGAATTTTTTGGTTGAATAGAGCCGTTGAGAGTGAAACAATAAAAT